CTTTTCAAGTACAATGACGGGCACTTCATCATGGCCATTGAAGGAACAGTGTCATCCTCAATGTATGCACCATATGAGAAACTTATCTATTGAGGATTTTTCAACAAAAAGTTATTCCTGATAAAAGTTTGTGCATTCCCTAAAACTGAACATTCACTAACGAAATAGTCAAACACACGTAATTTACGAGGAGCCTTCAAAAATTTTATTTTGAGAAAAGAGTACTCTTATTTTGAAAAACCTCGGAAAATGTTATTCAAAAAAGTTGTTCAGCATTGAAAAATACATCTAGATTTGAAGTCATGGCCACCTAAGTGAAGTATTATTTTTGTACCCATTGTTTTTAATGGGGACTACGAAAAAAAAATTTGCTGAAACGATAAATAGACAGCATTCTGTATACGACGGTTTATTTTGAAAGCCTACAATATTACAAATCACACGACTATGGTGTTACTCACGGTCAATTTTTTTGAAAAGTAACATCATTTTCGAAGTTTTTGGGTGCAAAAACTGTATTGAAAACTTTGAACACTATTTTAATCTCCAAAAAAATTGACAGTGGTTAACACCTTAGTTGCGTAATTGAATAAACTGTCGTATACGTGATGCTGTCTGTTTATCGTTTTAGCAAATTTTCATTTTTCGGATGGGTAAAAAAATAATACTTTGCTTAGATAGTCATGACTTCAAATCTAGATGTATTTTTTAATGCTGAACAACGTTTTCAAATAACATTTCTCCAGATTATTCAAAATAAGAGTACTTTACTCTTGTTTCAAAATCAAATATTGAAGGCTCCTCGTATATTACGTGTGTTTTACTGTATTTTCTTGGTGCATGTTTAGTTTTAGTGAATGCACAAGCTCCTATCAAGAAACATTTTGTCGAAAAACCCTTAATAATTTGATGCATTTTTTGGGGATGACACTGTATATACACCTTTCCCGCGACTATAGTGAATCACTTCTTATTGTGTTACAAACTGCAAAACTTCTGATTGGTAGGAAGCTCGTGCCTTTCTGAAGCAATTATTATATCAGTGAAGCCAGCGAGTATCTGAGAACCAATCCTCTGAACTAAGATATTTCACGGGACTCTACAGATAACTGTTTTTGCACAAGTGATTTGTATCACTTGCACTTTTGTTGTTCATAAACTATTGATATAAACTTCTACAACAGTGATAATATAGAAATTCTGATTTACAAAGAATATTGAATGATGACGTAAGTAAATTGACGATTTGTTGATCTTATATTTATTTAATTCTAACCAACACATTGTAGTGAAACGGATTTTTCTATCAGAGATTTTCGTGGATGCTCACGGAAAATCAGACTGCTGCTCGTATAATATGGAGCTTTTACTGAATCAGACTAAAATGAATGGGCAATATAGGGCTTCTGTAATGGATGGTTTTTCGAAAATATACAGCTGAAATAAGATTCATCTCAATGGTCTTCCAACAGGAACTTCCGATTTTGACAATTATTGATAACGGTTATCTTGTTGAAGCCACATCTGCCAAATTAGTTGTCGTTTATTCAGTCTGTTCTGCCAAATCACCGTGGACAGATATAGCATTCAATAACACGTGCAAATCAAAGAATTGTTAATAAAGAGAGAAATGAAAATTTCTATGTTTTTTACCACTTTTTATTTTTCTTTTTTTTCTATTTTTCTATTTTCATTTCTCTTTTCATTATGATCTTCTACCACGTAGTAACGGCTACGTCCATCAATTTATTAAAAGAATTGTTATATCAAAATGGTGTTCAGTCCGAGCAACATACCACGCGCTTCGCCCATTTTACAGTCGCCATAATCATCCTACCGAGAAAACTATTCGTAATTTGGCGGATGAACGATCGCCTAACAACGGTACGTCGATGAAACGCAAGATCTGACAAAAACATCGCCCATGCTGTGAGAGTGTGCAGGAGAATCCCAGGCAGTCGATTTCGCGTTGCTCACAAGAACTCGTTCTGTTCTACAGACCACAGCTTGGCGAATTTTGTGTCGGGACTTGTGCCTTCACCTGTACAAAATTCAACTGATCCAGGAACTGAACGACAACGACGTGTGTTTGCTGAGTGGGGTCTGATCCTAATTTTCATTGAAAAATCATCTTCAGCGATGAGGCCCATTTCTGGATGAATG